CGAGAAAGAAAAAGACCAAATTAAGATTCTGCCCAAAAATAGGGACCTCCTGAATGATTAAACCTAGATATAACTGATATAAAAATTCTAAACTTTTTAAAACGTTGAATAATTGTTATAAAATATGTCAGTTATAAAATATAAAAACCAAGCATGGAAAAAATATTAAAAGATGTTATTTACATGTTTATCACCTTACTTTCTATGATAATTAAAATTACATTAATATATAAAATATTATTTTCTATGACAATTTTGAGTACAACCATCACAAAAAGTAAATGTCATAGAAAATATATTTTCTTTTAAAATTTATGTATTTATTTCCCTATCTGCACAACAAATATTTTCACACAAGATTTCAAATAAACTACTAATAATCTAGTACATAAATATTTTTAAACTTTACTAAATGTTAATGTGTTTAAATGTATACGATTATTTAAGTTAGCTATACAAAGTTATTAATTCTATAACAATCATTAGAATAAATATTTTTGAAAAACATGTTCACAACTCTCAAATTTTTCGTAAAACTTCATAACGAGTCATTGAATATCTTCATAAACAAATATTTATTTTATCAATAAAGATAAAATTAATAATCAAATATTTACATTACCCAAGTTAATTGCATATTACATTCTTCCATAAATCACTGATATACATGTGCCTAGTCATATAACACTCGTACTTTTATCTCTCCAATTGATTGATGTGAGCATTATAAAGTTAAATACAAATAATATATATAATTGAATAACAATACAAAAAAAATGACTTATTAGATGTAATGTATTGCAGTCTTTTCTAATTATGAAAACTCCATCAATTTAAATGAGCTTTCATATCTTAATATAAAATAATATTCATTAAAATTATACTAATTACTAAATTTATTTAACTAATTAATGCATATAAAGAATAACAAATAATAACATACATATTATTACTACTATTATTATTGATATTATTGCGATATAAAAGTATTAAAATAAGGAGTACAAGTACATATGATGCTTCGAAAAATAATTTCATCTACTCAAAACTTTAAGAAAAAATCAATAAATTTTATCAACCAACCTTTATTTTATACTAGTCTCTCATTCTCTCACATATTAAAGTAAAGTTTGTCCACCAACTCTTATTTTAAACTATTATCTCATTCTCTGATATATATATATATATATACTACACTGTGTGGCATAAGTTTAAATGTTCACATTTTTAGTATTTATTTTTCTCTGGCTGATTATCTTCAAGAAAGAGTATGAGGCAAACGGAAATCTCTTCTTTCATGTAAAGTTTTTACTCTGTTAATAGTTTCTGTTATAATAAGTCTCATTTATTATGATAAATTTTCGTTGTTATAATAAGTCTGCTTTATTACGATAGATTTTCGTTTAGAAAGAGTTAACATTTTATGACTACCTAGCATCTATTTTTTGTTGTACAATCCGTGCTTACTGAAGTTTATATTAGTTTATACAGTCTCGATCGGATTTTAAGGTTATCTCTTAGCAAATAAACTATAGATGGAGTATAGTTTATCAATCAAGACACAAATTATTTTTGTGTTAAACTTTACGAATTGTACCTATCATCACACAGCAATTTTTGTTTTAAAAAGTTAAAAGAAAGTGAGAAAGATGGATTCACACCATGTTTGGTAAGAAGTGTTGTATCAGTACTGCTATATACTGTTGTTCTAATGCATTTAAAACGATAGCACAATCACATCAAAATTGATAGCAATGGCATCACTCGAATGTAATGGTATCATATGCAGTGGAGTTTTCAGTCACACATTATTTTGCTCAATTATTGATGTTGCATGCTTCAACCAACATGCGATAAGCTCCAATCTGCTATTCCTAAACCAGTACTTACATTCAACATTACTCAGTTTATTATACATCTAACTCTCCAAATTCAATATTTTATTCACTTGCTTTATAAGAGCCAGCACGAACATATACGTGTGTCAGCATTTTATTACACTGTTGTATTTTTTTTACATTAAAATAAAATAATCATATAAAACTTATTATATTGTTTGGAAAGGACGACGATCATGAAAGTTAAAAAATAGAGAATGTAAAATGCTTTCTTGAAATACAAGTTTATGATAGTTAGTAGTTATGCAAGTAATAGACTCTTCTTTTTATTTTTTTGTCTGAGAGAATATGTAATATTATGATAGTAATTTTGGAAAACAAAAATATGTGCACAAATTGAAATATCTCATCTGTTATTGTTATGAGTGTATATAACCATCATTGGAGGGGCAAGTAAGTGCAAAATTAATGACAAATTTAGAGACAAGTGCAACATACTATAAAAAATATATTGAAATTCTTGCTGATATAGTGAAGAGAAATTGTTTTCAATAGTGAAATGGATAGAAAGATCGAGAGCAAAGATAAATGTCATAATTACGTTCTTACTAGATAACATACTAATGTACATATTTAAAAACATACTAAGAAAATTGAAATGTAAAAACATACTAGATGACAAATATTCTTCACGAGAATTTCACAAGATTTGGAAAATAAGAGAAGGATTCAAAGGATGATATAGCAAAATAAAAATCTAAAGGATAAAAGGGACATAAGGCAGATCTGTGGGTTAAGAAACTTCGACACTTTAAGTCATAATGTTCAAAGTAGGAAAAGTCAAACGAAAGAAGTTTGTCAAAAATGATTCCAAGAAAAAACTAATGTCACATGGAAAAATTTGACTTGGTTTACTTTGAAGATGAAGACATATAGAAGAAGAATCACAACTTTGTTTTATGGTAGCCATGATGGAGTTTAAACTACCTTTGAATGAGTCACATGAATAGGTAGACTTTATTAACATTCATTTTATCATACAGGCATGGAATGAGCTTCTACATAAGTCTTTACTGCTTTTGGAAACCTTCTATTAACTGCTAAAAAGGATTTAAGAGTTGTTTGTGACTAAATAGCTCAGCATTTGAAAATCATGTTCAACTCTACAAATGATCTAATCACTCAAAATTTGGAGCAGAGATAATACAATGAGAACTGTTCAAAGTAAACGAAAATGTGAAATAAAGTCCTAAAAGTCTAAGTAAAAACTTTGGAATAATAAGAACAAAAAATGATTCATTGATTTTGTCAGTAGAAAAAATCTATAGAAAAAAAAGAGAGTCTTTCTTCAATAGGCCATCCTCCACATGTAGACAATCTACTAAGATAGAACAGGGTTTTGAAAAAATTCACATCCTTGAAAAGATCGGAGAAAAAAGGCTTGATCTTCTTGTAAGAAGTTCACAACACCCCCACATGATAGGATATCAATAAGTTGTGAGAAGAGAAAAATAATCTCATGAAAATTCCTTTTAGTTTAATTTCGTTTGGTTATTGATAGTTTTTAGTTCAGTTTAGTTTCTTTCCCACTTCTATTGCTATTTAAGGTTAGTTTTTGCAAAACATGATTTACTTGTGTGGCACGCAGTACTGCAAAAGCTGTGAATAGGATGCAGCATGGTCCAAAAATCTTAACCCTTATGAGAATGTAGATCATAGCAAAATTGAAGAGAGCAAAAATGGACCCCTTTAAAAGATCCATAATGGATTGTCCAGAAAAAAGAACAGTACGCAACATCTAAGACATCATGTAAAAATTAGCTCCACCTTATATTCCGAACAAAATTGGTAAACTTTTCTTCTACGAGTAGGGACTCCATATATACAAGCTTGGTAATATTTAAATATACCATAGTTACTTAGTCAGAAGATATTTGTATAGATAAAGTGTCTCCATACCGTGATGAAATGCAAGTGCAAGCCATTTCATTCAATATTTACCATCGGCAGATCCCAGGTGCTTCTGTTCTTCTCTTTGCAAGCACTTGCTCACATTTTGAAGCAGCATATACAAAGCCAACTGCATGAGTGGCACAGACCAATTAAATTGCTTATTTATAAAAGAAAAAAACTTAGATAAAAGTAGTGTTATTGCTGTTAACCAATTAGAAATTAAGTTTTACCTTGATAATCTGCAAAATCTTCTGATTCAGACTTTTATGATGCAAGTTACCGAAATACAACTTCAATTCTGATAAGAGAACAATATAAAACAGAACTGTATCCAAATTCGTCTCTATAAGTGTTTAACAAGTAGCTAGCATAAAACAAATTGTAGGCGTGGGGTGCGGGCAATGAGAGGGAGGAGGAAAAACTGTGTGCATTTCTACTTCACTTCAAAATCTTGAGAATTTGCAAGGCAAGGATTCCCATAAGTAGAAACATGTGGTTCTACTCAATCAAAATCAACCGAGTTTAAGAAGAAAATTTATTAGCATAATCACCACTAATGAAAAAAACCCATCGAAATCCATCGCACCTTACACCATTTCTGTTACATCTCAACAGACAAAATATGTTAACAGCTACAACCAACACCTAGAAAACAACAACAACATCAACTATCGAGTAGAACTACTACCAGACCTCATGCTGGACCAGGGGAACTTGGCATCATCGACACTCTCGCGGCGGCCCAAACGCCCATGATTTTGGGCCCGGAAGGGCCGTTGGGCCCTGAAGGGCTGCTGGGACTCTTTCCTGTCATCGAGCCAGTGACTCCTGGCGTGGGTGTCTTCCTCGACGACGCTGGACGTGGTTTGCTTGTTGACCCTCTTCTTATCCTCCTCGATGATTCGGATCGGGTAGAGATCGGGCGAAATGGAGAGCGGGTTCTTGAGAGTGACATAAGCCTTTTTGTAATCGGGTTTGGCGATCAACAAGCCGCCCCGTTTCTTCTTCTTACCCTCCATGTTCAATGTCTGAACCTTTTCGACCTCGAACCCGTAGAGGGATTCAAGAACACGCTTGATTTCGATCTTCGAAGCGGAAGGAATGGTCTTCAGTGCAATTTCTTGGATGTTGGTGAAGGTTTTGGGCATCAAAAGTTTTATGGGTAGGTTTGCAAACTGCACCACCCTTCTTCCCATTCTGCTTCCCATGGTCGTTCACGACGTCTCTCGCCACACTACCTTCGCAAAACTTCAAAACTTNACTGGACGTGGTTTGCTTGTTGACCCTCTTCTTATCCTCCTCGATGATTCGGATCGGGTAGAGATCGGGCGAAATGGAGAGCGGGTTCTTGAGAGTGTCATAAGCCTTTTTGTAATCGGGTTTGGCGATCAACAATCCGCCCCGTTTCTTCTTCTTACCCTCCATGTTCAATGTCTGAACCTTTTCTACCTCGAATCCGTAGAGGGATTCAAGAACACGCTTGATTTCGATCTTCGAAGCGGAAGGAATGGTCTTCAGTGCAATTTCTTGGATGTTGGTGAAGGTTTTGGGCATCAAAAGTTTTATGGGTAGGTTTGCAAACTGCACCACCCTTCTTCCCATTCTGCTTCCCATGGTCGTTCACGACGTCTCTCGCCACACTACCTTCGCAAAACTTCAAAACTTTCCCCTCTGCTCTTTTGCCCTGAAAATAAATATCGCTTTTCCGGCCAAAACCCAATTTTCACATCGGGCCTGATTATTTTTGTTCTTTCCAGTCCCCAAAAGAAGAAGGCCCAATCTTGAATGAAAAACATTAGGAATTATAAAATAAAATGATATTTTATAATTAAAAAATATATTTTTCAAATCAAACACCTTTAAAATCGTAGAAGAGTAGAAGTAAACTATTTTTCGGAGTTTACCTGAAAGATCAGCAGCATCCAATTCGTAAAGTCCAAACAATGTACAACGTTTAAAAAATGTACAGCGTTCTCACAGTGGTTGCAACATTGTCCCTGGTATTATGCGTTGACTCAACAAACATTCATAATTTTAACCTTCACTTCCATATATTTTTTTTTATTTATTTTGATGGTATAATTTAAAATATAAATTTTACATTTTAAATTATATAATCTCAATCATATTTTTTATATTATAAATAATACAATTCAAAATATGATTTTTTATATTCTAATGGATATAAATCAAAACGTGTTCCAGAACATATCCAAACATTTTAACGTTTAAGTCAGTTAAGTAAGTCAATTAATAATAAATATAATAATTAATAAAAATAAATCACATATCTTATTAAAATGCATTATTTGTATCATTGTTCATAAATTCTTACTTTGAATAATAACTTATTAATCTTGAATTATTTTAGTTAATATTAAATTATTGTGAATAGTATGTGTTGATATGATGTCGTCGTGATTTAATAAATACACATTAGGTATTTGTTTACTTAGCAGATCAACAAGTATTCAGGAGTAGGTCATATATTTTTACAATCGAAAGAATCTTGAACATATATAGTACACAAAATATAAAAAATGTATTTTAAAGTATACAATTCATAAGATGTATATTTTTTATTTTATATCTCAAAATACATAATATATTCTAAATTTTACATTTAGAATAAAAAAATTATGAGGGTGCAGATTAAAATTATGGAGGTGTAGGAAGAAGATGCCAAACAACCAATTTTTGCTTATTGAGGTGAATTTTTAAAACTAAATCTTTCTTTTGTGAGCCCAAATTCTGTAAAGAAAGAACCAAAACAGATTCTAATAATAAGTTACAAGTGCTTATTTCAAACATTCATATATTTAAGTATGTGTTTCAACTAGACCAACATATAAAATAATTCACTTTTTGAAAATATTTTTTCTAAAATATTTAGGAAGTTACCAGTGAATATTTAAACTGACAATCTAGTTTTCTTTTTTATGGTAAACGTTTAAAGGGGAAACAAAATTTAAAGTGAAGTATGAGATGTTATATCAGTGAGAAAAGAGAGTGAATTCTTTATTTTTCTTCTTTATACAAGGCCACCCACTTTTCCATCATTTTCTAGATTTCTGCATTAATTTCTGCAAGAATCCTGTGAACTCTCCTTCATTGATCCACAACAAGAAAGAAAAGAAAAAGAAAAAGCCCCTTCTAAAGTTGGAGTTATGTAGTAATAATTTATCTAAAACCAAAACAAATCATAAGAAAATAGCATAGCCATTTAATCTTACATACAACATTGCATGAAGTTGCTTCAAAATTTGCCATATAGTCGTGCAAAAGTAACCTATTGTAGCTATATAACTCACTGGACTATGGATACCACCACTCCAAAGTAAAATTAACAGTTCACTGCACTTATTCTCTGATACGAGAAAAATGATCTCAGACTAAGTTCTCTGTGTTACAATAACTTTTACTGGTTTAGTTACCTCTTGATAGAAACAGTAACAACAGTAATCATCTCATCTTGTAGCCAAAGGAAACCAACGTTGGTGGAAGGAAGATTGGTAAGCCATCATGAACAAGACAAAGAGAAGCAACAGTGCCACTCCCCATGGAGACCCTCCAGCTCTGTGAAGCGACTCTCTCTCTTCTGGCAATGGTATTGGGAACGATGCTCCGCTTGAGAGGCAGTGAACTACCAGCAGCAACAGCAGTGGAACCAGAGCCAGAAAGATCTTCACCTGCACAAGCAAGTCCTCGAACAAGGACTCGTAGTTTATGTACCAGGAGAATGCCAGCACGAACAAAAGGATGATCACGAAGAACACAAGGTGGAGAGGGAAAGACAAATACTCCCACAAGTAGTAGTACTGATCATGGTACCTTGCCATGTTGAGATGTTTGTGAAGAACTAGTGGCTCAGAATTTTAGATGTGAGATTGAATGAGATCTTGTTAATGTTTCAGATGTTGTGTGGAGCCTTCTCGGGGTTCCATATGAAGAGAAAGTTAGGTCAAAAAGGTTTATATATAATAAGAAAATCACTTACCACATTCGTTATTCATTCTTTCACACCGAAATTAATTAAAAGTCTTTCAATTTATGTCATAACTCTCCTAAAGAAAGTCACAGTTTATGTTTCTGCCATTAATGGAAGCAAAAAGTATATGTTAATTGTAATTATGTTGATGTAGCCACATCATAAATAACAGATAAAAGAAAAAGTATAAGAGAATCAAAGTAAAAATGAACTGCGTTTAAGAAAAGTAAAACATACATAACAAAGTGAAATACGAATTAATAGTGCCTGTCAAAAGAGAAAGTAGAGATTCTACTTTTTATTTTATTCTGGTGAGGAGTGAGAAACATCGAGATTATCCCAGAGACTATAGGAAGAGAATAATAATTGCTGATTTAGATTGAAAATGGTGTGATCCAATGGGGAGGTGCCAGATACTATGAACAAGGAACAAGAAAACGTGTGAAGATGAGAAAATCAAGGAATTAAAATTAGAAATTTAGAAGCAGTGAACACTGTAGTTTCTGATAAAGAGGAGGCAAATGGGGTCATTCCATTGGGAAATCTGCGTCTTGCTTATTGCCATGTATGGCCCATGTTTCCACTTCCAAGCTTTATTAGGGTTTAGCTACCACATTCTTCACTGTATCTGATTCTTATCAGATAAATTCGTGTCCATTTGCATATTCTATATTACGCGAATAATTAATATATATGATATAATAAAAAACAGAAATAAAAAATAAATAAATTAAGAAACAAAATGAAGATATCTTAAGCAAAATGCATAAATTAGTTTAAGTTTGAGCAGAATTTTCTCTTATTTATCTAGTTAGAAAAAAGATACACACATAGTACTCTGTCATCCATGATCATGCATATTTTCATCCGTTCTTTTGTCTTTTTCTCTTTTTGATAATGTTCCTCCGCTCCTTCAATGGTTGCTTTCAATTGTTTTTGAAGTATCTCTTACCAGTAATAATGCAATACACAGAATCAACTATTTTGATTAGGTTGGACCACTGTAGTTTAATCCAAACATCATAATAAATATTCTTCACTGTTTTAATAATGTAACTAAAATAAATCAAACTTAGATACCTTCATAACTTGCATGTACATAGTCTTAACATCGACTCTCATCTTGAGTCTCTATTATATATAATATAGAATGTTAATAAATAAGATGTATGATGTATGAAAAGACAATTTTTTTAATATATGATTTAAGTACTTTATGATTCAGTTGTTGAATAGTGATAAATACTTTATTTAAAATAAAGTTATAGATTAACTAAACATAACGTAGAAAAATATTTTTCAGACGAAGTTAATATACAAATTATGTCCCTGTTCTGGAAACTTTTTTTATTTAACAAATCATAATTATATTTTTAATATAGGTGAAAAATTACATTTTAAATGATATTTTTGAGTTTTTTTGTTTTATTTTTTTGTGACCAACCCACCAAACTCAAACACGCTATATGTGTGGGTGAGATTGGGCTTGCTAAAATTAATCCGTTTAGAATATGGACTTTGTGAAGCCCATGTTTCACATGCTTTGGGTTGCGGCATCCATCTTTACGTTAATATATGGGTGTTGCTCCCTCCACCTCCACAATCCTTCTCCCTCCACCTCCCCAATTATCTTTAATTCCAATTATATCCTTAAAGTTAAAATTTTTATTTTTATTATTTTAATTATTTTAATATTTAATATTTAAATATAAACTAATATAAATATACATTATTAAAATACATTAAAAAGATATTAAAAAATAATAATCAAAATATTAAAATATCTAATAAAATAATAACAGAAACATAAAATTAAACAAAGCGTAAACGGATGACATCCTTCAAAGGATGTCAACATCCGTTTAAGGCGAAACGGATGTCGACATCCGTTTTGCCTTAAACGGATGTTGACATCCGTTGAAGGATGTCATCCGTTTTAGGCTTCGTTTTCATTACGTTTTAGGGTTAAGGATATTGGAAAGATTATTGGAAGGATTATTGGAAGGGCTTAGGGTTAGGGTTTAGGATTATTGGAAGGATTATGACTACGTACCTGGAGAGGAACCATGACAGCACATTACACCACAACCGCACTACACCACGTTACTGCACCGAAAGCAAGAGGAAGATTGCTTGATAATTCTTTTCACGATCACTGAGCTTTAGCAGAAAAATATTTTACTCATACAAGGATACGGTAGGTTATCAGTGAATATGTTATAATGAGTAAAATTAAAAATAATAATTCTAAAATAAAATTTTATGAGGGGGCAAAATAGTAAAGGGGAGTGGAGGGAGAAGGCTGTGGTGGTGGAGGGAGCAACACCCTAATATAATTTATTAAGAAAAATTACAGAAAAATCAACAAAAAAAAGTAATGGTTTCTTTATCAAAATATAAAATCAGGGGTTATCTAAGGGTAAGAAAACTTATTAGTACCAGTTAAGATTATGTTCTTTTTATTGAATGTGTATGATTGATGAAACTTTCAAAGTAGTTATTTTACTCTTAAAAACAATATAAAAAGAAATTTGATGAAATATTTATTTAGGTATGGTAACATATTAATTTTGATCTCATGTATCTTTTTAATTTTTAAAATAAGTTTTAATCATTTAAAAGTCTTTTTATAATTGGACACTAAATAGGAAGGGATGAATTGATCGTACATACGTCTTAAACTACTTGTATCTATATTATATATTAACTTTGGAACGTTTATATTAAAGCGTTTGATTCATAATTTGTAAAAATTATTATCATATTAACATAATAAAAAAAGAGATATTAGAAATTAAATGATACAAGTGGTGATACATGTATTCATTTAATCAAATATATTATTAAATATTTGCCTTGCCATGGCTTTGAAGACATTTATTTATTACTTTTGATGTAAGACATTTTTATGGTAGTTATATATACCAATAAAATAATTAATTGATTTTAAGACATTTATTGATCTATAAAATTTAAATTTATAACATTTCATGAA